CATCTCTTTTTATTTTATATATATATATATATATATATATATATATATATATATATATATATATATATATATATATATATATATATATATATATATATATATATATATATATATATATATATATATAAGCAGAGTACAGTGTTAATGTTACTATTCACAATGTTTAAAGAGCTGTAGCTGTTTTACTGGGCCTACTACGCTACTGTATTTCAATATTGGTCATTATGGTGGTACTTAAAGGAACAATTTTTTCTGAAGTGGTACTTGATTTAAAAAGTTTGAGAATTACTGTGCTAGAACCATAGACTGTAAAATATATGGACGTAGTATCCGTGACGTCACCCATAGGTTTCTGAAGAGCGCAAAAGAAGCCACAAGTAGGCGCGGCCAACCGTCGCCATTTTGTTCGCGGGTCATCACACCCACGGCGGGATACCAAACAAGGGTAAAGAGGCGGAGAGTGAGCGGAGCTACAGACACCTGCTGGCATTTAGCTTGGACCTGCCTCAGACACACTTTACTTTGGGAAAACGCTTAATACTTCCTCACCTGCGACTCGTTTGTGTTCTGACCACTTGTACTTGGTTGTACACTATATCAATAAAGTGTTTAGACTTTTAAAAACACTGCTGTAATACATTGAGCCACTAAACATTGTTCTAATGATGTTTTTCTACAGGAGGAAAACGCAAATTACTTCCAAACACTTCAGAGATAGTCTGTGTTAGTTAATGTAAGACTATTGATGAAATCCAGCATAACACTGTATGACAACACTTCAGATGACTGATCTAGAGCCTACAGCTGATCAATCTGACAGATTCTGGAGTGCATTACAGCTCTAAATATAAATATAAAAGATAAATGATCTTAAATAAAACAAATACATGTATAGAGATGGTATATAAGTATATAACTTTACTCACATGGGAAACGGAGGCCACGTGAATGGTTTGTGAGCACAATTAAGTGCCCTCAGCATGCCATGCCATCTAATAATTGTAGGAAACAAGTCCAAAAGGCAGCTGACTGTGTAAAGCCACATAAAACAACAACAGAAATACGATAAATATGCCGAGTTCAGTGGCTAATCTGCAGGATTCAGCTGAGGTGACGTGACGGCGACCAGCGATACCTAGCTGTCACTCAAGTGGCCACGCCCTTAATTATGCAAACTTAATATAAAGGAAACGGATGAGTTATAAAAAAATTCACCCCCTCACAGTTGTCATGAAGGGCAATATTAGCTGTATTAACCAAAATCTTTTTTTGTACCAGGCTGTAAACACCTTTTTTTCTGCTGTAAAGTTGGCCAGTCTAACAGTGGGCTCAATTGAAATTTGCTCTGTTTTGGAGCCAGGAGCGGCCAGGACTAGCGGAATTTCAGATGAAATGCAGTTTTAGTTACTTTCGTATTGACTTCCTGAGGGAGAGCGGGAGGTTGCCGCTTGGCTAGAACATGCAAATGGGAGTCACGTAACATTCCAAAAGCAGCTCATGTAAACACCTGAATCATATTACTGTCTTATTCAGACTAAGGCAAATCATTAGATCACTGATGTCCATGTAAAAGTAGTCACAAGCCCCAAACCCAGACACCGATACTGTTTTAAAAGTATCGATTTAGCAGCGGTATCGAAAAAAACCCAAACTATACCCAACCCTACTCACCAGGGTGCTCAAGGGTTCATGGGAGTATGCCCAACCAGTTCACATGTGTTTAGTGGACTTGAAAAGGCATTCGACCATGTCCCTCGTGGCGTTCTGTGGAGGGTGCTCGGGGAGTATGGGGTCAGAGGCGCCCTTTTAAGTAGGGATGGCTGACGTGAAACTGACGTTTCAACACAGTGTCGAGATCCCGAAGCGCAAGTGTTTCGAAACACTGCACCGAAGCATGATCCGAAACACCCAGGTCACGTGACTAAAGCGATTAAAAGCATCGATCATTTCAGAGGCGTTTCAAGACCCGGAGAATCTGCAATTGACTGGCATGATCTATATTATTACTCAGTTTTGTATGGCCTAGTGGACCGTGCGTGTGCACATTAGTACTGTGATACAAATTGGTTTTGGGTTCGAATCCCGACTAGTCCAAATACTCCAAAATCATGATTTTATATATTTTAATCATGTTTCTGTTTTATGGTGTAGTCTAGATAGGATACAGCTGCGGATACGCCATCAATTTAGCATAATTTTTGTAACACTGTAAAACAATAATTCATATTTTTACAGTACTGTGATGGGTTTAGGTTTTGGATAGACGTTAATAAAACACAATGGGAAATTTAAATAATAATATAAATAATTATTGTTAACTTCTGGCCACAACTGTGTCTGATCTAGCAACAACCCTGTTTTATGAACAAAAGAATACAAATTTATTTACAAGGTGTTTATTCGTATGTCAGAGCGATGTTTAAACAAAACGATACAATAACAAAGCATTACTAACTGGTATTAAAGCATTTCGAAATAACTGTTTCCGTCTGGATTCGAACCCATTATTCCCACATGGTGGTCACGAACTCTAACCGCTCGACTAAACCATTTTCAGATTCTAGGCTACAAAGTGGGGTTTCATACCTCAATTTGCTCAACTGTTCTTTGCTGAAGCTGTTTCAGTGAAATACAAATAAAATGACCACTAGGTGTCACCGTAGAGTGGTGTTTCGAAACGTTTCGAAGCTTCGACACATTTGCTTCGATAGTTTCAGTGTTTCACGAAGCCTCGCTTTGCCCACCACTACTTTTAAGGGCTGTCTCGTCCCTGTATGATTGGAGTAGGAGTTTGGTTAGCATTGCCGGCAATAAGTCAGACTTGTTTCCAGTGCATGTTAGACTCTGGCAGGGCTGCCTCTTCTCACCAATTCTGTTCATCATTTTTATGGACAGAATTTCAAGGTGCAGCCTTGGGCTGGAGAGGGTCCCTTTCGGGGACCACAGGATTTCATCTCTGTTATTTGCAGACAATGTTGTTCTGTTGGCTTCTTCAGACATGGACCTTCAGCATGCACTGGGGCGGTTTGCTGCCGAGTGTGACGCGGCTGGGATTTGAATCAGCACCTCCAAGTCTAAAGCCATGGTGCTCCACCGGAAAAAGGTGCTTTGCCATCTGCAGGTTGGAGGAAAGTTCTAACCTCAGGTGGAGGAGTTCAAGTATCTCAGAGTTTGGTTCAGGAGTGAGGGAAGGATGAAGCATGAGATCGACAGGCGGATCGGTGCAGAAGAAGGAGCTGAGCCGAAAGACAAAGCTCTCGATTTACCGGTCAATCTAAGTTCCTTCTCTCACCTATGGTCATGAGCTTTGGGTCATGGCAGAAAGGACAAGATCTTGTATACAGTCTACTTCGCAGGGTGGCAGGCCGCACCCTTATGGATAGGGTGAGGAGCTCTGACACCCAGGAGGAGCTCGGAGTAAAGCTGCTGCTCCTCCACATTGAGAGAAGTCAGCTGAGGTGGCTCTGGCATCTGTTTCTGATGCCTCCTGTGTTTCGCCGCTGTGGTGACCCCTGATAAATTAGAGACTAAGCCGAAGAAAAATGAATGAGTGAATCATATAGGGGAAGTTGAGAAGACACAGGAGCACTTACTCACACTGTGGTGTTTTCCTCCTCATCAGATAATCCACCACATCACTGTCAGTGTCCAGCAAACTGAGCAGCACCTCATTCTGCAGCTCTGCAGAGATCTGACAGACACAGAACACAACATTACACTAACAAACAACAACAACAACAATACAATTACAGCTGAAATTATGACAGGATTTTATTCTTTTTCAATTATTTCCCAAATGATGTTGAACAAATTTAGGAAACTTTCACAGTATTTCCTATAATATTTTTTCTTCTGGAGAAAGTCTTATTTGTTTTATTTCGGCTAGAATAAAAGCAGTTTTACATTTTTTAAAAGCCATTTTAATCAACATTATTAGCCCCCTTCAGCAATATTAGTTTTGAATTGTCTACAGAACAAACCACTGTTATACAATGACTTGCCTAATTACCCTAATTACCCTAATTAACCTAGTGAAGCCTTTAAATGTCACTTTAAGCTGAATACTAGTGTCTTGAAGAATATCTAGTCTAATATTATGTGCTGTCATCATGACAAAGAGAAATAAATCAGTTATTAGAAAGTAGTTAATAAAACTATTATGATTAGTGCTGAAAAAATCCACCAATAAACAGAAATTTGGGATTTTTTAAATTTAATTTAAATAAATAAATAAATAATAAATAAATAAATCACAATACTAATGAAACTGTTATATAATATTGCTATATACTGCTATATAATTATTTTATATTATATATAATTATATTTATGATGCACTTTTATACATTATATGCACTTTTTGGCACAACACAATTATTATACAAAAAATGACCCACAGTGGCTTCTCCTATTATGGAAAACAACATTTTTCTGGCTGATATTTGCTCCAGTTTATTAACAAGTGATGAATATTGCAATATATATATAAATATGCAATAATCCAGTTTTGTGCATAAATCTTTGGATAGAATCAAAGCTGTTTTTGCCACGTTAAAAACTTGCAGGAGTGTAAATGAGTGTATGTGTCATAATAAGAGTATGTGGTCTATAATTGAGTGTGTGTGTACCATGAAGAGTGTGTGGTGTTTGTCGATCATGTACTGGACCACACTGATGATGGCTGCGCTTTCCTCCATCCGGACGGAGCTCTGGACGCTGAACTCTTTCTCTGAGCTCTTCTGTTTGTGCAGGAGATTCGGCCCAAATATTGTGGCCAAGTTCAGTGAGGTCATCTTATTGCCCATCACCTAAATCACACAAAACACACACACACACAAAACACACACACACACACACACACACACACACACACACACACACACACACTGATTTGTTGATTGACAATACAACAACAGCAAAACAACAACAACATTGACAACACAACAACAGCAAAACAACAACAAAATTGACAACACAACAACATTGACAACACAACAACAGCAAAACAACAATAACAATGAAAACACAACAACACCAATACAACAACAGCAAAACAACAACAACATTGACAACACAACCACACCAATACAACAACAGCAAAACAACAACAACATTGACAACACAACAGCAGCAAAACAACAACAACATTGACAACACAACAACACCAATACAACAACAGCAAAACAACAACATTGACAACACAACAACACTAATACAACAACAACATTGACAACACAACAACACCAATACAACAACAGCAAAACAACAACAACATTGACAACACAACAACACCAATACAACAACACCAAAACAACAGCAACATTGAAAACACAACAACAGCAAAACAACAACAACATTGACAAAACAACAACACCTATGCAACAACAGCAAAACAACAACAACAACAACAGCAACAACAACAACAACATTGAGAACACAACAACACCAATACAACAACAGCAAAACAACAACAACATTGACAACACAACAACACCAACATTGACAACACAACAACACCAAAACAACAGCAACAACATTCATTGACAACACAACAATAATACAACAACAAAAACAACAACATTGACAACACAACAACAACAGAAACAAAAACATTGACAACACAACAACAACAGAAACAAAAACATTGACAACACAACAACAGCAATACAACAACAGCAAAACAACAACATTGACAACACAACAACAACAACAAAACAGCAACAGAAACAACAACATTGACAACACAACAACAACAAAATCAACAACACTGACAACACAACAACAATACAACAACAGCAAAACAACAGCAAAGACAACAAAATGACATCATTAACAACACAAGAATAAAAAACAACAACAAAGAAAACAACAACAAAACAAGGACAACAGCAAAACAACCATGACAACAACAAAATAAGAATAACAGCCAAACAACCATGACAACAACAAAACGACAACTGCAAAAGACCACACAAAAACAACAACAAAATAAGAATAACAAAAATAGCAAAACAACAACAACAAAACAATGACAACAACAACAACAAAAATAAGTAACAATAACAAAAAACAATGAAACAACAACAACAATAAAACAACAAAACAACAACAACACAATAACAAACAACAACTATAATGAAATACTACAGAACAGCAAGAACAATGGCAGCAGCAACAACAATAAAACAACAGCAAAACAACAATGACAACAAC